TCATGTTATATAGTCTTAAATATTTAGGAGGGGTCTCCATTATTAAATTAAGAGATTAAAAAGGGGTCCCATGACATTTTAACATAAGAATCTCCCACCCCACCCTAGGGTATAATGAATGGTCACTTAAAGTACATGCCATCTTCTAACTGGTTGGGCACCTTGCCCCTTTTGTTATGGAAAATCTATTCCCTACCTTTATCCCCTGGGACAGAAAATTCAAATCAACTCTCCACCCTGATAATGTGCAGATGGTAACAGCAAGAATTGAAGCAAGCTTTACTGGAGTACATACTATTATTAGGAAGCATCAATTCGCACATGCTAATTTGCCAGTCATGATTTTAAACATAATATTTCTTATCTCATATAGAATTCTTAAGGTCTTGTTTACATTTTACTGGAAGCAAACTAAGATGCATATCCAATATTTGGGTCATATCACTCGTATGTCAGTTTTGCAGCTTGCCAGCTTCAACAACATTTGGCTGCAAGGAAAACGTAAACAAGGAAAGAGCATATAACACTTCATCTGTGTTTAAAATATCAATGAATAAATATTCCAACCATTGGCACTTTATAATATAAGTGACATTCAACAATAGATCAATAACATATACAGTATATGCAAAAACATTTCTTTGAATCACTGTATAAAATATTCCTCATAAACTCGCTCCAATCGTCACACAGCAGAGTCTTTGGAAGGGTAAAACCAAGTTTAACATCCCCAGTTCAAAACACTTTCCGTGTCCTCTTTATAGGCAAGCCTGCCCAGCTGGAGAACATCTGTTAATTTTGTTTAGCAAACGAACAATATTTACCAAACCCAGGTGGAAGAACAGCAAGTACATAGTTCCCATGTAATAAAAACTGAAGAATTTGATTGCGAGTACGTCAGTAGCAAAAAGAAGGAAAACTAAACACATTTTTAAGCCGCTCTAAGCACTTAAATTTTGTGGACACTCTTAGGTTGGTGGCCATCTTGATTTTCTAATTCATTATTATTATAATTTATTACACCCACTATATCTGGGTGTTCAAAGTCATGTGACCGGCCGGTGCCAGGGCCTTTTCCCGCCTTCCCAATGACAAAAAGGGAAAAGCCCTAATCTTTTTGTTGGATGGAACTTTGCTGAATATATGACGTTTTGCGATTTTTTGTTTATAGCTATTTACAAATAGAACTGGTCAGAACTTGCAGACGAGGTGTTTGTATTTCAAGGTTAAAAGGTATGTGAATTTGGGCAAAGCAGTTTTGTTTACAGTTTTTGCAGCGTTTTGCAAGACGTTTTGATCAAGTCATTGCAAGCGGTTGCCATAGCAACTTGGATTTTTTAGATGAAATTTTTAAAAACAATACGGGTCAATTTATACCTTTTTACTATAAAAGTTTCGGCTCTATAGTTTGTTAAAAGTATTAAGTTCCTTCATGACTTATTGCATGTCGTAGATTGGAAATAAACAAAAGTATTTTTATTTAGACATGGATTTGGCAGTTAAAATTGCCGAGTGTCAGACAATAGCTGAATTTATCAACCTTGGAAAGGTTATATATGTTGAATGACGTGGAACAGCGCCTTCTTTTTGAGATAAAATTAGAAATTTTTCGTCGAATAATGCAATGGAGAGTAGAAAACGAGCAGCTGGGGCTTACATAGATAGACAGATATCTGTGTGGATTCGTTGCAAAAATAATGTTGGGTCTTGCTTTCGGACTTTTCAAAAGAGTTGCTGCTTTCAAGCACAGAGTTACAGGTAAATGACCGATCACGTCCGCATCAGATAAAGATGCTTTCCCTTTGGACTTCTGTTCCACATCCTGTGCAATCTGAACAGTTGGTATTTGATCGTCCTTCTGTCGCTTCAAACTCAAATAACTTTCCATTTTCACATTGTACATTTTCTGTTTTTCGACATCGGACATGTCTGTACTCTGAAAAATCTCTGACATCGCCGTATCCTGATGCATCATATTAGACGTAATGATGGAGGTTTCAATCTTTTGTTTCTGCTCATAACGATTTAGCACGTCCTCCAGGACCAATACCATGCGTTTCGCATGCTTCATACTAATAAACTTCTGAGTACACTCAACACGGGTGGTAAGAGAGCTGACAATAGATTTCCACCTTTTTGATCAAGGCATTGTTTTTTCCATTTTCTCGATACTTTCTTACTGGCCAGATCACGGAGATGTGTCTTGTAACACGCTAAACGTCGCTTTTGACAGGGTGATAATGGGATGACACCTTTAAGCAAGTTTAAGGAACACTCGCAGATAGCGGTGATGATCTCTGGGGGAACGTTGTTGATCATGAATTTATGTAGTTTAGGTCCACATTTCCCCATGACCTGAAGATACGGCAGACTTCCATTCATGCACTTCGACATCTTGAAAATGATCCTTTTCAATACACATTCAGCTTTTAAGCATGTTTCACATAAACAATCTGTTTCTCTTCGGGTAAAATGTTGGTCCTCAAACACATATTTTCCGGCGTCAACTGGTGACAATCGATGACTAAATATCCATAAGGTCTGTTCATCGCATCGTGAAATGCATCCAGAAGGTATCCGGTAAGTTTAGGAAACATCTGTCTAGCAAATGTGGAAACACCAAGCGAATCACGTGAGTTTCTAAACACGATGAGAATGTGACTATTCAAACTAATTCGAGAACGTTCGCCCGGTGGGAACAAATTCTGGGTAAAGTACAGCACAGACATGTATGGTGGTGGCCCAAGCCTGCCATTCAATGTTTTGTTTATTTATTTTTTTAAAGTTGTTATTTTGTTTTTTTTCTTTTATTTTTTTCTAGTTACATAAAAATGTTAAAAAAAAAATAATACAAAATTTTTAAAATAAATTTTTGAAATTAAATTTCAACCGCAGGACCAGGACTGCCGTAGTATACCAGCATGCTGTGAGAACTTCTGTTGCTAGGTAACGATTTGCTACGAAAACAAATTATTTTAATATTGGAAAAGCCTGAATAGCAAAAAGAATACAGTATTTTTAGTTTTTTGAGTATGGCCTATTTCAGAAATTCATCGTGGGTGGATGATAACAAACTTAAGGAAGACTTGGAGAAATATACATGCCAAGGTTTGCAACGAAAGGAGATTCTTAGTTTTGTAGAAAGAGATTATGCTGAATATGCATGGAGTCTTCGTACTCTTGATAGGCGGTTAAGACATTTTGGCATTTACCAAACTGACCCAAATGTAACTGTAGAAGATTTAAGAAATGCTGTACAGACGAAATTAGATGGCCCTGGCAGAGATCTGGGCTACCGTGCCATGCACAACAAAATAAGGCAAGTTCACGAGCTAAATGTGCCAAGGCACAAGGTTCACAATGTTATGTACGAACTAGACCCTGCAGGCTTGGAGAATCGTGCTTTAGCGAAAAAAGCAGCTCGAGTAAAGGGCAAGTTTACCACAAGAGGTACAAACTGGGTGCATTCTTTTGATGGCCATGCAAAACTCATGGGGTATCAAAGGGATACTTTTCCCCTCACCATATATGATTGCATCGATACAGCCAGCCAAAAAATTTTGTGGCTTCGTATTTGGATCAGTCACTCGAATCCAAAGCTAACTGGTCGATGGTATTTTGATTATCTCTACAACACAAAAACCATTGTGGCAATGATACGGATTGACAAAGGTACAGAAACAGGAACTCTAGCAACACTTCATGCATTTTTAAGAAGGCACCATGAAGACATGGATGCCATGAACACTGTTATATATGGTCCATCATCTGATAATCAGGTATGCCTTATCCTATATATTGGGCTATTCCAATTTTAAACTACTCCCATTCTACCCATTAACCTGCAGTGTTCTACCACTGACGAGTAATCTGCTGTTAGACAGAGTAAAATACTAAACTAGGGCATATCCAGGAACATTGCCAGCTAAGGGACCATTCATTATTTATGACCGGGGGTGGGATACGCCCTAGTTTAGTATTTTACTCTGTCAATTAACAACTAAACAAAATGTCCTGCCCCCCCTGCATCACACAAAATATATGACCCCTTTCACATGGATTCAAAAAAAAATAGTGACCCACCACCACCGATGTATACATAGACACATGACCAGGCATCAGATCTACATTTACTTGTGCTTTCAACAATTAAATAATTAATTGAATAATAATTGGATGCAAATTGACTGTATTTTACAAAAATGGTTATCATTTCACAAAAATAATTACTTTATTATGCAAATTTTACCTGAAATTGTCATTGCCTGAGTTTCACAGTTGGGGGGCTTACACCACCCACCCTGCACCCTTCGGTCGCTACATCCCTGTATATAGTACATACCAAACTCATTCCGGAAATAATGTTGTAACATTGCTTACTTGTTATTGTGACTGTCTTTTTTATTAAAATATACAATGTACATCAGGGAAACATGACAAAAATTTATGGAAATTTCCTTGCCAAATGGTTATAACTTTAATAGATGCTCAATTTTTCGTATTACCTGTGCGCATCGCATTTTGTGTATTTGCGCATTGCATTTTAGGTATATTTGTGCATTGCATTTTGGGTATATTTGTTGATGAAAATTGAGAATTCAGTGCCAGCTACATGAATTAAATTTGCTGCCTTGCTTGTCCCCTGCAGTAGCAATAATCGTTACATGTAAAATTTTTCCCCACTATAATAAAATAACTGGACCCCCCTTCTGAACCAATATTTTCAGATGGCCTGCCCTTTTCAGTCAAAAATGCCTGATGACCCACCCCCTTTTTTGCCAGCCCACCCCCAATCATAATAATGAATGGTCCCTATGGGTTAAACAATTTCTTTCGGGAATAATGTTATTGATAGTAGTTAATGATTTTAGAATGTAAGGGAAGCCAGTCGACGTAAAACACAAGACAGATCCCACTGTATTAAATCTACTAACATATCTTTCTTAAGCTTTCAATTTTAACTTGTATTAAAATATACTATGATATCCACATCATTGTAGATTGAGCACTGGTGGAGAGAGCTTCATGAAAGACTTGAGCAATTCTACAAGCACAAGCTGAAGTATCTTAAGGACCAGGGGTACTATAGTCCACACAATCAACCAGATAGGTAACATGTGGTTCATGCTCAATAATAGCAATGCCAATCTTTCTATCAAGGTGTGGGTGGGTCTTGTTAGGATCCTACAGATATGAAGATCTCTATCTTGACTTAAAAAACTCATTAATAATTCATGAAGAAAACACAAAGAAAATCGCCTTCGGCTCGAGTTTGTATATGTGATACAACACGGCCACTCATGTTGTAAAAATTACTTATCAACTTATATGTACCTTCAAAACTCATGTGTATTGATTCTGTACAACATGTGTATAGTCACCTTTATTTGCTGTGTTTCTTGCTAATTGTATTCAGGTCAGGTGAATATGAAAAAGCTGGTTTAGTCCCTCCCCTCTATTTATAGGCCCCACTTTCTGACACAGTTACTTCACACATGCCAGAAATACATACAGGTCTGCCTAGGGATAAATAGAGAATTTATGGTAATTTGCAAAATATCACGTCAGTATCGCTATATTTTTTCCTATAGGTTACTACTTCCATATCTTTTCATTCCACTGTTACAACATGAACTAGATGTATTCAGAGAGATAGTATGGAATACACACCGGATTAGAAAGCAGGACACTCATCTTCCAAATGGCATGCCAGATCATGTGTACAATTTCCCAGAGGAGTATGGTCTTGAAGAATGTGGTAATATTTTACTTATATCTTAATCTCTCCAATAAGCCCCCTTTCATGTAATCCCCCCCCCTCAAAAATCCCTCCTCCAAAGGGCCTGAAAACAGGCACCTGGGGTGGATCATATTAGAGATACTATGCCATTGCTATTACTGCATGACACAAGTTACATAAAGACTTCTCCCATCTTATCCTTAGCAGCCTTGCTCCAGACCTGTGCCTGCATTTCTGTTTATAAGCATCCCTTTTTTATGAAAATGTTTTCTGTATATTTGTATATATGTGATAAATTTGAACAAATGTATTGTTATGTGCTAAACATTTTAGGTTGGGAAGTAACAGAGGATCAGTTAAAAGAGGCAGCATTTCACTCAGGTGTTCTCGATGTTGAAGATGATTACCTGGAACCAGATTTCAGAGCTAGATGTGAGGCAATCATTGCAAACCCTGCCGATGTTAAACCAAAAGATTGTGTAGATGCATTTCTGTATCTAAAAGAGCACTTTACTGCCCAACAAAATCAGAATGCTTCTTGAATTATGGGACAGCTTAATTGAATTTTACATTGGTCTTGGCATTTTTCTTGTTACTGTTAAAGGTGGTTATTTGAAATGGGGGTATTTGACATAGTGATTTAACAGGGTGCGATAATTCGTCGCGTACCAGAGGTACACCAAATTTACGGTCTGGTACTTCTGTTTTTAGCCTAGTACCACGTAGGTACACAAGAATTTGCTATTTGCGTACTTACATTTTCCTTCTAGCAATAACTAGCAAACCTTCCAAGGTATTCAAAACCGTCAATAACTTTAGCTGTACAATGTAAATTCCACACATCCGACATATTTTGGGGTCGAACAAGGTTGTTAACTTTGTTATAAGTGTTTATTAAATATATAAAATTCAGAAAGGTTTAATTTTTTCCGTCAAAGACTGTGAATTAGGCTTGGCTAACGATTTACTTGCAAAAATGTGCATAAATTATGATATAAAAAAATGTTGCAATTATGCATAAATGTATTTACTGGTTCAAATTCCAAATATGTCAAAAAATTTTATGAATGTAGCTGAAAGACACAGTTATGATCTACAAGTACCCGACGTTTCATGCATGTAGCATAAATAGAGGTATTTTTATTGAATTTCTATGTAAACTATGTAGTGGAGTAAAATTTACATTCTGTGCTCACATGAAATATTTACCTTTATCAAAGGTCCTTTTTCATTGCCGCAACATATTATCAATACAAATTTTCAATATTTTTTACTGTCCAAGGATACTATGGCACCAAAATAAGTCTGTGATACCCACAAAAGAACACTCAAATCATGGTAAACAAAATTTCTTTATTTCTACAGTTACTACATACATTCTTAGATAATCATTACACCATTGACTTTAGTTATTATTGGCATAACCAGCCTGAACATTTGGTCATGCTATTCAAATTTGAAATAATCACTACTCATTTTAGAAATTGATTGTTTTCACAATCTAGAACATGAAAATATTTGCATTTAGCATCACCAAGTGTTGTTGGGCTGCATCATCATTAGTAGTTATAAAAATGTTTTCCAAGGCAATAATGTTTGCCAAAGCAGTGATGTTTGTCAAAGCACATAATTGGATTATGTGGTGAAAATATTTCCTTTATATTGGACCACAAAAGATCTAAGACTGTAACCAAACTTATATCAGATCACCACGTCATACTCAAATCCATTGTGATGAATACCCGGACTTCTTCCTGTATAAATTTCAAAGTCGCAATATAACCATTAGGACTGTCTGCAGCAACCCACAGATTTATCCCCCACATAGTAGGCCATCTTTC